GACTTGTATGTGCATATGTGTGCATCTACACACAGGCATCAGATTGTGGCGGGTTTTAGAAACTGCCAGAGGCATAGAGAATAACATGCCTCCAAGGGCATCAAAGGATGTAGTCAGGAGGCCACAGCGCCAAAGGGCTCCTGGGTTGCTCAGCAATCTGAGCTTGCCCGCTGATAAGCATCTCTTTTGCTCCAGTAAACAGAAGCTGAAGTAGAACCATGACACTTGTTCCGGGAAATGGTAACTGTAGTCACAAGTCATAAATAATAAAGGAGAGAAAAATCCTCTTTTAACTTAATGGACTGAAAGACATCTTGCTTTTCATTTTTGCTAATGGCTCTTCTCCCTGGGTGCTCCCAGAGCTGGCCCATTATGGAAGAATTTGGCCTTGGTTTGCAAGCAGGGCATGGTCCAAGGCATTAGCTGTGAGCGAGATATTTGGGACAAAAACTGTGTTGTGCTGTGTTGATGCTGTGTAGCCCCTGTGGGCTCTGAGTTCGAGGCCTCAGAGGGCAGATTCTCTGCATTGGAGAGAGAAGACGGAGCAACTCCTGTTCCTTTATACACAGCCTTCACTTTGAACATAACAGAAACATAGGTTCAGACCAATTTTTATCAAATAATTATTTTCTATCTTCTTGCCCCCCAGTAGGGTCCTGTTTCCTGTATTGCAACACCCTCCCTTATCTGCTGTACCCACCTCCAGGCTGTTGCCCTGCTTGGATAGTCTGGAACCCTAAACTACCCACCTGTTCCTGCTTCCTGGCCAAGCAAACTTTCATTTCCTCAGGGCAGTAGATGTCAGCTACTGTCCTGAGAAAAAGAAAAACATAGCAGGCATGAATTCATACTAGGGAGTGAGTGGTTGAGAACCTTTAACCGTCACAGTGTAGTCTCATGATTAAATAGGTTAGGTAGCTGGGTGTGGTGGCCCATGCCTTTAACTCCAGTACAAGGGAGGCATAGGCAGGAGAACTGCCATGAGTTTCAGGACCATCTGGGATTTCTAGTAAGTTCTGAAAGACCCGCTCGAAATGCCCCTGAGCCCCCTGCCCCGAAGCTGCCGGGGCCTCCCAAGCCTTCACCCCGGCAGGGCTCGCGCCCCC